TACACTCACCTTTCCTGGCTCCATCCCCGCCTCTTCGACCTGTTTGTCTCCTCTCCACCTATCCTCTCCTCTATCCCTCTTCTATCCGCCTCCCACTCTCTCCCTATTTATTTCAAATCCCCCTTTTCTGATGAAGGGTCTAGGCCCGAAACGTCAGCCTCTCTGCTCCTATGATGCTGCTTGGCCTGCTGTGTTCATCCAGCCCTGCACCTTGTTGTCAAGGACCAAAGGGTCTGTTTTCTTGCTGTATATCTTTATGACTCTGAATGAAATTGCTGCCACTGAGCCATACTGTATATAGCTCTATATCCCTGTGACTCGCGCCTGTTGATGACGAAACCGCGGCTTAGCCGGTGCCCCACTGATGACAGATCCAATCGTCCGACTGCTTCCTCGGGGAAACCCACATCATTGCGTCCCTCGAGGAACCTGCCTATGCTCGAAACATCGCGGCTTCGGGTTCCAGATTCGTCGCTGAATACACCATACCGTTGCCTCTGAACAACGAGGCTCTTCATTGGTCTATTCGTACACGGATGAGCCGGCGCCCGTTGGTCAACGTCCACGTCGATCAAGAATGAATGGGCGGGGCATCTTGAGCTTTCGGGTTTGACTGGTGAAACGAAATGCCAATCAACGAGTGGGCGGGTCTCGTTGTGTAAGGCCCCTCCCTATTGGCTCCAGGTTGACCAGGCCCTGGTTTGTGGGTGATATTCTAAACTCTTTGTTTCTCGCTCTGTGTATTGTCAGTGATATTCCGATTAACTAGCCGATAATTCAATGGATTCCAGTTATACTGCAGGCTGTGCATCAAGAGCCCCGAAGGAATCCCTGTGAAATTATGACAAAACAAAGGACTGCTGATGCTGGAGGCCTGAAACACAACCAGCAGGTCTGGTAGAACCTGTGGAGGCAAAACAGAGAGAGTCCTTGTGAGAGATGCTAGGAACTGCAGATGCTGGAGAATCCGAGACAACAAGGTGCAGGGCTGGATGAACACAGCAGGCCAAGCAGCATCGTAGGAGCAGAAAGGCTGACGTTTCGGGCCTAGACCCTTCATCTGATGCTGCTGCTTGGCCTGCTGTGTTCATCCAGCCCTGCACCTTGTTGTCTCGAGTCCTTGTGAATTTTTTTGATGTATGTCAGGTTACAGTGCCACCTCGGCTTTCCTAGTTTAGGTCCGATTAACCCGGTTTCTCCCCTTCACTTGCCTTAGAATTTGGATGTGAGAGCTGTGTGATCTTGCACGTCATTTATTGCCAAGAGTTTGAATTGGTACCGATGGAGAAACTGTCTGTGTTTGTGGTCATTACTCCATTGAATCTAACAGAACCTTCTTGAGTCCACGTTGGTGCAGAGTAACGCAAAAATCCTGTAATTATTCAGTTCCCTATTAGGTACAGTGTTGGAATTACTCCCCAGAGTGCAATCAATGGAAAATTCCATGCATTGTTGAGAATTTGCACACTTGCACTGGCTGTCTCTCTCCCTCTGTAAAAAGGAAACCTTTTGAAAGATTCATAATTTTAAGCAATGCTCTGTAACTGGATTTTTAATGGTGTATTAACGTCACCTTTACTGCTAAGCACCTTCTTGACCATAAAAAAACTTGCAGTACCTTTTTTCAAAAACATGTTCAAGCATGTTGTGAACAAACCCCTGGTGCAGCTGGGATGATGGCAAACCTTCTGGCTTATAGGTAGGGACTCTACTACTACACCACAAAAGCCCTTGGAAGCTTACATTTATGTTTGTCGAATATCAACTTTTTTGATATTAATACATTTCTTTGGAAAAAGTATACAGTTCATGAAAAGTTTACCTTTTGATTTAACTTTCACCTGAATTCAGTTGCAACACTTTATTTTCTTAGGTGTATATTCAGCAAAACTATGAATGATATAAAGTGTGCTTTTACTTTCTGGTTTATTGTGTGTGAATATTTAATTGCGATCAGAAGTTTATCTGCTTCCTGATCCGCTTACCGACATCAATGCTGCTGCATGCCAAGGCATTTCCTTGATTTAGCAGTGAAATCTAACATTTATCAGGAAGGGAGAATTCATGCCATTGAGATCTCTAGATCTTTGTGGACATCTTTCTGCAGGGTCAGCAACAAGTGCCGTTGCTGACCATGACATCAGCGTGAGTGTGAACTAAACTTGTTGCTTATCAGAATACCTGCAGTAATATACCTGCAACTGTAAATATATTGAAGAGGTGTATGCTGCAATGGGTTGGCTAATATGAAACTCACAATTACAAACAAAAAGCCTGAAGAGTGTTAGAGAAGAAGTTGTATGCTAGTTAACATAACATAGATTTAAGTTGTAGAGCATTGTTACTAGTGTTGTAAAACCTGAGTTGATTCTGCCATTGCAGTAGACTCCAATGACTCTTCAGATGGTAGCAGTCTGAATTTTTGAGGTCACCTATTCTTGATTAAACAGTGCATGTGAATTTCAAAATGCCAGATCTTTTGTTTGAATTAATAAAGCTGGCTAATTCTTATACAGTTTTCCATGAAAAATGGAAATTATTTCATTATCTACATCAGTTCACTAAGACCCAACAGCATTTGCGGGCAAGCAAGAAATGTAACGTTGCCAGAATTGAACTGGATGTACGAGTGTATTTTTTTTTTTTTTAAAAACGTGTTTTTTTTTTTTTTTCTTTAATCTAAACACTATGAAATAAACTTTTAACAGGAATGTGATCATCATCTCAAGAGTCATTCAAGGGTTCTACTCTTCTCTTCATGTCTGTAGATTGTGTAAAGATGGAGGACTTGCCTGAACTGTACATCATCTTACAAGGCGAGGTATATCACCAATTCCTTCATTCGCTGTCCACAACCCTCTCTTTTGGTTCTCATTGGCTGCAAAAAAAATTCTACTCATCTCATTTTTCAGGTTGCATCTGTAACAGAATATGGAGCATTTATTAAAATTCCTGGTTGCAAACGGCAAGGTAAAGTATTACTGCAATTTGGTGTACTGTGTATATTTTACTGTTTTATAGTTAAATATATGTAGGTGGCACTATTGTTAAACTCCACAAATCCTTTCTATCCAGTGATTAATGTTAAACATATGTCATTGTTGCTGTGACTCTTGCAACATTTGATATTCCCCGTTTTAGAAAATGTCTGGTTCAGTATTTGCTGCTAGTGGGAATTTTTCAAGCTCGCTCTTTCAAAGCAAGGTGGCATTCTCAGTGGTAAAGACAAGAAATTGAACCAGAGCAGGGAGCTCTGCCAAAGCAGTGAGAGTTACTGAGCTAAATACCCAGTGCCCATGATGGTGGGGCCATTGTGGCTAGGATCAATTCACTGAATGCTTGTATTATTTTGCAGGTCTGGTCCACAAATCACACATGTCAGCAAGCCATGTGGATAATCCCTCTGAGATCGTTGATGTTGGAGAAAAGGTCTGGGTTAAAGTAATTGGGAAAGAGGTACAGACAGGAGAGGCTGGACAGTTTCAAAGCTGTATGCAATCTTGAGAACATTTTTTCTCAGTTTACTTCTTCTGGTCTGTGGAATTATTTGCTGATTTTGCAAAGTTCAGAATTTAATAGATGTTGATTATAAATGGATGAACAATTTTGCATGTCACAGTACATGTAAAACCCTCTCAATTCAAGCATGTTTATTGAAATTTGAAAATGCTGAAGTTACTGGGTCAGCTATTATCTGGGAGATGTTTGCAACCATTCATTGCAACTAGAAAAGGCAAAAAAGCAGGGAGAGAGGATGGAGGATCAAAATGTAAGGATTTGTAGGGCTGAAAGCAGGAGAAATTAAATGACAAAATGAGGAAAAATTAATTCACCACCGTCACATTTTTAAAAATTTTGTGGCAACTGTTTGTGAAGATTCTGCATCGTTTTAAATTGATTTTTTTTTTATCTGACTGATTACCATCTCTTTTTACTTTGTGCCATTAAATCCGCCTGCCTTCCAGCCTGTTACAGAGCTTCCCATTTGTTATTTATCTCAACAAAATTCTGGAAATACTCAGCAGGTCTGGCAGGCTTGTCAAGGAAGAAAGCAAAAATAACTAACTTTTCAGCTCGGTGACTTCTCATTAGAACTGGAAAAAATTAAAAACCTGCTGCATCTCTAAGGGCAGGGTGGGCAGTCGTTTATGCTTAAGTCTATGCTTCTTCACATTATAGAGTCCATGCTCTTTACATGTATTGCAGCAGTTTTTTTTTGGATGAACCTCTTGTGTATGATGTGACTATAATTAAAACTAACCTTTTGTTTTAAGGTAAAGGATGGCAAAGTCAAGCTTTCCCTTTCAATGAAGTCTGTTAACCAGGGATCTGGGAAGGACCTCGATCCCAATAACGTTATTCTTGAGTATGTGTTTTTGATCATGGCTTTGGCTTGTTTCCTTGTAACGTCGTATAATAATTGTGAAAGATTGTGCACTGATTCAACGATCTGTTGATCAGCTTCCCAGAGCCTGGGATTTTTTGACCATTTGGCAGATACTGAGATCCTTCTCAGCATACGCTTTTTCTTTTAATTTTCTGTGGTCCAAATAAATAAATTGGTGAATGGAGAGAGATGAATAGAGTTCCAGATTTATAATGTTGTATAGTGCTCAAATGGGGTTTAGCTCTTGCATTTGGAGAATGCATAGAAGAGAAAATGGAGGAAGAATAGGAATGATATTATTTTCTGCAGGGGGTTAATTCTACTTTTATGGGATTTTTGTTTGTAGCCAGGATGAGAGGAGGAAGCGCAAGTTCAAAGACTTTACAGGGCAGAAGATAAAACTTGAAGCGGTTCTAAACACAGTTTGCAAAAAATGTGGATGTAAAGGTAATGTAATATGGCCTAATTGCTTTTGTTTGCTGTTAGGAGTTTATAAATTAAAAGCTTAAATTCATCCTTTTCGGGGTGTTGATAAGTGCTGTTAATTATAGCTGCACAAAAACCGAAAGAATTGCAGATGCTATAAATCAAAAGTAAAAACAGAAATTGCTTGAAAAGCTGGAAGTGGACAGGTCTGAGGAAGGGTCAGCAGACGTGAAACAGTAACTCGGATTTCTCTTAACAGATGCTGCCAGACCTGCTGAGGTTTTCCAGTAGGTGCAGTCAGTTGGGGGTCAGTACATTTCTTGTGCATCACAAGCTCCAGGACGCTAAGTGGTTTTGCGTCCTTTTTAAGATTGATACTCATCTAAGGATGAAGATGCATTGTAGCTGTAGTGCCACTGAGTTGCTCAACATGGAAAGAAATCTTTCGGTCCAACTCGTCCATGCTGACTAGATATCCTAAATTAATATTGTCCCATTTGGCCCATATCCCTCTAAACCCTTCCTATTTGTGCATCATCCAGATGCCTTTTAATTGTTGTTATCGTACCAGCCTCTACCACTTCTTCTGGCAGGTCGTCCTATACAGGCACCACCCACTGCATGAAAAAGTTGCCCATTAGATCCCTTTTACATCTTAAACTTGTGCCCTCTAGTTCTGGACTCCCCTACCCTTGGGGGAAAAAAACCTTGGCTGTTCACCCTATTCATGCCCTTCATGATTTTATAGCTCAAACCCTCCAACATCCTTGTAAATCTTTTATGCCACCTTTCAAGTTTAACATCTCTCTTTTCGCAGGGAAACCAGATTTGAATGCATTATTCCAAAATTGGCCTCACCAATATCCTGCACAGCTGCAACATGACATCCCAATTCCTATACTTAATGCAATGACCAGTAAAGGCAAGCGTACCAAACGCCTTCTTCCCTACCTTGTGTACTTGCGACTCCACCTTCAACGAGCTATGAACCGGAACCCCAAGGTCTCTTTGCACAACAACACTCCCCAGGACCCTACCATTATAAGTCCCTACCATTAAATGTATAAGTCCTTGAGGGATTCACTCGATCCCAGTTGTCGATACCTGCCATATACTGCCTTCTTTTTCTTTACCAGACCCTCGATTTCTCTAGTCATCCAGCATTCCCTACACCTAACAGCCTTGACTTTCACACTAATAGGAACATACTACCTCTAGACACTTGCTACTTCATTTTTGGAGACTTCCCACTTTCCGCCCATCTCTTTTACTTGCAAATAACCTCTCCCAATGAACTTTTGAAAATTCTTGCTTAATACTGTCAAAATTGGCCTTACTCCAATTTAGAACTTTAACTTATAGAACTTTTTAACTTGAACTCCGGTTTATCCTTTCCTACAGGCGCAGAGCAATTTGTCTTTGTGCTGATGATTTTGTTTCCTTTCGTCTTTCACGGGATGTGGACGTCTCTGGCACTTCCAGGATTTGTTTCCTATACCTCATTGTCTCTGACCTGAGTGTCTTGCTAGGCTAATTCAGAGGGTGATATGCAGTCAACAACATTGCTGTGGATCTAGTGTCACACATAGGCCAGTCATGTTGATGGCAGATTTCCTTCCCAAAAGTCATTACTGAATGAGGTGGGTTTTTACAACAGTTGCTGGAAATTGTCATGGCCCTGTCTAGTAATTGAATTTAAATTCCACAGTCTGCAATGTTCTTGGATTTGAACCCAAGATCATTATCCTGACCTCAGGATTACCGGTCCAGAGGAAATAGGATGGAAAGATTCTCATTTGATGGCAGAACATGCTGTGAAATGGGGTTATAAGCTGATCAGCCCATAGGAACCTGCTCCTTGGCACACGCTGTTATGCAGCGGAAAGCTCACTGTTACCGAGCTAATAAGGGGAAATTTGATTAAATTATTCTGGCTGATGACTGAGTGACGCTTTTCTCAGCCCACGCCTCAACACAGCACACTCAAAGGAAATGCATGCTTAAGGGCAGGTTTGAACCCAGTGTTGATGGGCCCAGTTGTGATAAATTAGCCTGGTGCAATCGAGTCTGAATTAACTTTCACTCAGGAAAGTCGCATTTCTTGTCTCTTGTAAAGTGAAATTTTTTGTTTAACGAGAATGCCTGAGAACTTCAGAAGGACCCTTGAATAACTTTATTCTCTTTGCTAGGACATTTTGCAAAAGACTGCTTCATGCAGCCTGGGGGTGTTAAATACAGCCTTGTTTCTGATGATGAGGTGGAACCAGCTGACTGCTCCAGCCAATCTGAATTTCAACCTCCAAAGAAGAAAAAGAAGGTAGTCATTTATTTAGTGATCGCGTATTCAGTCTGTAATTTCAAATACCTGAGCGAGCTGTGCCCACTAGCATGCAAAATGCCAAATAGTTTAGTTAATGGATATGACTTTGTTACATGCGGTGTGGTCAGGCTAATGTTTGACTGCCAGAACATTTGTTGCTGGGTTAGAAATTTAGTGATTTGTTGTGTTTTGTCCTTGCCCTGTTCAGATGCAGTTTAGAAGCATTGACTTGGCCAGTTAAGTCCTGGTTCATGGTCAATTAGGTCGGAGATTCTGTTGAGCTTATACTTTTTTAATTCTTTTGTTGGAAATGAACATCTGTAGCAAAATCAGCATTTATTGCCTGTCCTGAATTGCCCTCGGGAAGATGGTAAAGAAATACTTGAACCAGTGCAGTCTCCGTGGTGGAAGTATGTACATTTTGGTTAGGCAGGAAGTTCAAGGATTTGACCCAGCAATAGTGCAGGAATGGCAATGTCATCCCAAATCAGGACAGTGTATGGCTTGGAGAGGAACTTGCAAATCATGGTGTTCCCATGCTTCTGCTGTCCTTCTATTTGTAAGTGGTAGCGTTCGCAGGTTTGGAAGGTATTCGAGGCTTGGTCAACATCTTCTGACCACTGTTCTTGTCTTGAGATGACAAGTAAAAGGGAAAATAATTAAGGATCGTTTGTTGTCCAGATTAACGATTGCTACAAATCAGAATGAATTGGTAATGTAGTGTTACAATAAATTTATTTATTAGTTGCAGGCTATGGCCGGCATGGGTGATGCACTTGTTTAGAATGTACTCTTTAAGACATTGAACGTTTTAAGATGCAGGTAAATAAAGATTCATGAGTTGCTGTAACATTAGGAAAATTATATTTTGGCTGTACTTTATTGAAGGTGTCATTTCAGCCAGTGCTTTGCATCAAGTTTCATTTCACACGTGGGTGTGAGTTCCATGGTGTAAAACTCACTAATTTTGAGTGAATACTTTGATAGTAATGTAGTTGTGCTCAGCGCAGGTAGAATTCCACAATCCAGTCTCAAAAAAAGTTATGCACGTGAACTAAAAAGGGTTGGTGGTAGAACTGATTCTTGAGGAAACCCATTGATTTGATATCTCTGTGCATTCGTGAGGTGAATCACGTAATTCTGTAACATTGGAAACAATACAGTAATTCAGTTAAGGAGCTGGCTCAAATAAAGAAATAATTTAGACTACAGCCCTCTTGAAGAATTAACACGCAAGAATTGTAGTTCTGCAGTGTTTATGAGTAGTTTATTGCCATGTCTAAGAAGTCATTTACAGGAAATCACAGTCAGTTACTGTTGTCAGGTTTTTTGACTGCAAAAGTGTGATCATCCAGTTCAGTCCCTTCCTGATGTGATGTATGCATACATCCATTTTCTAGCACAATGAAGTGAACAGCAATTAGTAGGAACTGTATCTGAGTTTTGTCTTTTCAGCCGACGAATGATTTGATTTCATTCTGTTCGACAAAGCACTCAAGACTATCAAGATTTCAAGAAAGAAGCAAGTATAGGGATCTATAAAGCTGCATTCAACTATACTTGCTGCTATAAGATTGTAGAAAATCAGTTTAAATTTGTTAGTAAAATAGAGTGTGATGAAAGATGCATATTTTATATATAGATACGTTGTGTGCAATTTGGATTTCAAAGTAGCAACAGTGAATTTTAGTTATTTCTCTGAATTTTTTTTTTTACACAAGAAATGGTTGGGAGGTCATAGAGTCATCGTCATAGAGCTGTTCAGCATGGAAGAAGACACTGGCCCAACTCGTCCATGCCGACCAGATATCCTAAATTAATCTAGTCCCATTTAGAACAAAAGGGCAAAAAACAAATAGCACAGGAACTGACCCTTCGTTCCTCCAAACCTGCGCCAACACATTTTGATCTTCCATATTAATACTGCCTCCATTTACGGGATCCGTATCCCTTTATTCCCTTCCTATTCATGTATTCATCCAGGTGCTTCTATTGTGTCTGTTTCCACCACCACCTCTGGCAGCGCATTCCAGGCACTCACCACCCTTTGTGTGAAAAACATGCCCCGCACACCTCCTCCTTTAAATTTCCCCCCCTCATACCTTGGTCCTGTGTCCCCTACTAACTGACCACTCCACCATGGGGAAAGAGCCTCATACTTTCCACTCTATCCATGCCATTCACAATTTTATAAACTTCTATCAGGTCGCCCCTCAACCTCCTGAATTCCAATGAAAACAAGTCCAGTCTATCCAAGACAACAAGGTGCAGGGCTGGATGAACACAGCAGGCCAAGCAGCATCATAGGAGCAGAGAGGCTTACGTTTCGGGCCTAGACCCTTCATCAGAAAAGGGGGAGGGGAAGGGGGTTTTGAA